TCTACAACTAAAAATATTTTTTAAAAAGGTAATGTTAAAATTTAAGCATAAGTGAGCAAGAAGAAAGTTTCAGAGTTGGTATATTTTTTCTATCCTAGTGTATTCTCTTTATTAGAATATTATGAGGTAATAGTAATGTAATTTTAATTATATTTGAAAAGAAATAGGACCAAAAAATTAAAACATAACAAAATGGGAATTAATAGGGAAATTTATAGCCATTATCATTAATAGTGAACTTTATTGAAAGTATATATTATGATACGGTGGGCAGACTTATAAGATAGTCTGCCCAGCCACTACCCAATATCCTACCCATTCCCGCCGTCTGACTGGTGATTAGGTTATGTTATAAGGCACAGTTGACTTGAGAGGGAGATTATTGGGTGGGCCTGACCTAATCAAGTACTTTAAAAGTAGAGAGTTTTCTCCTGCTGGTGGTAGAAGGGAAGTGAGATATTCAAACTTCTATATRCAGTTGCTGACTTGAAAATGGGGAAGTTGTATATCAAGAAGTAAAGGTAATCTCTAGGAACTAAGGGTGGCCCTTGACTTATGTCAAGGAAATAGGGACTTACTTTGTATTRATAAGAAATTGAATTCTGCTAACAACAGAAATCAGAGAAGAGAGGRCGTGTTCAGGGTGGCATGGTGGTAGACCTAACAACAGAATTCAATGAATGAACAAGGAATCAGAATTTTTCCCATGCCTCCAGATGAGGATGCAGCCTGGTCAACATTTTAACTGTACCTTTATTATTTTAAAAAATAAGAATATGTAAGAGGTAAGAATATGTGCCAACCTTCTAAACTAAAGAACTGTGAACAAGTAAATTTGTATTGTTCTAAGACCCTAGGTTTGTAGTCTTTTGTTATGAAGCAATAAGTGAATAATACATATGTCTTGAGTGATCACCTAATCATTATTAAGAAGACTTAAACAATATAAATACCTTTAAAACTTTTAAATTTCATTTTTATTTYCTTTTTTGTTGTGTTTTAACATATAGATAGAGATAGTGAGGGTACATAGTCAAATTTTTGTCAATAGAGGCTTTTTTTAAAAAAGTTTAAAAGATAACCTTTCTGTCTCAGCCTCCTGATGTGCTGGTACTATAGATGTATGCCACCACTCACATCTTAAAATTATTTTTTAGTGTTGCTATTAATTATACAGATTACTAGGTTCCTGTAGAGATAGTGAAATATTTGTACATGCTTACCTTCCTTTTCACCCTCTCCCTGATCCCGTTTTTCTATCTAATGGTCTCCCTTCTATTTTCATGACATCTTTTTTCCCCCCTCTAGCTTCTTCTGTATGTGRGATAAAACATATTATACTTGTCTGTAGCTTATTTTGCTTAACATGCTCCATGTTCTTCAGTTCATGCACTTTCCTGTAAATTACATAGTATCAATGTGTGGTGATCTTTGCCTCTTTGACTCTGGGCTTGAAGTCAGTTTTGTTGGATATGAGAATAGTTACTCCTTTTTGCTTTTGGTTTCCATTTACATGGAATGTCATTTTCCCTTCCTTTTGCTTTAAGTCTGTGAGTGTTTTTTGCCAGCGAGATGCCTTTTTTGGAGACAACATAYGGCTTGAATCTCATTTTTTTAATCCAGTCTGCCAGTCTATGTCTTTCATTGAGATTTAAGGACTTTTACATTCAGGAATAACCCAAAGAGGTATGTTTTGTTTCCTATCATTTTATTTTAATGYTTTCTCATGATTCTCATTTGCTTATGTACTCTGCTAATGAGATTTTCTCTTTTCCTGAGCTGTCTTGGTTATTTTTATCATCTTCTCTGTGTAGGAGTCCCTTAAATATCTTCTGCTTCTATCTTAGTGGTYGTGAATTCCATTAGATTATGGTTTTTGTTGGAAGGTATTTATTTCCCTTTTGGTTCAGATGGATCATTTTGTTGTATGTTGTCATGCAGGTTGGCAGTTGTTTTCTTTCAGGGCTTGAAATACATTATTCCTTGCCCTTTTTGCCTTTTAGAGTTTATACTAAGAAATCTGCTGTTATTATGATTGGTCTACCTTTRTAAGTGACTTGGTATTTATCTCTTGCAGCTTTTAAAATTTTTTCTTGCCAGGTGCATATGTCTTGAGTGATCACCTAATGATCACCTCCTAGCTACTTGGGAGGCTGAGGTAGGAGCATAGCAAGTTTGAGGCCAGCCTGTCTTAAAATAAAATAACATATCGAGGCCCTGTCTTAAAATAAAATAAAAAGGACTAGGGATGTAGCTCTGTTGAAGAGCACCACAGGGTTCAATCCCCACAAAAAGATTTTTAAAAATAAGAATATGTAAGTAGATAAAAGTAAAATTTTTAGTTCTGAATTTTGGTATTTCACTTTCAGAGAGTAGTTCTTTTTGGTCATATCTATTTGGAGTTCTTAATGCCTCCAGTACCTGCCTGTCCAACTCATTTCAAGGATTAGGGAAAATTTCTGCAGTTATTTTATTGAATAAGTTTTCTGTGCCATTAATCTGTATCTCCTCTTCTTCCCAGAGSTCTAATATATTATATTTTTTCTTTTTCTATTTTTATAAAAAATATCTTTATAACTGCCTTAGAGTTCTAATTCATCCACCATGTCTTTGRCCTTAATATTCTTTCTTTTGTTTGATCTAGTGTATTGGCAACACTCTCCATTGAATTTTTCATTTTACATACAGATTTCTTTTTTAATTTTCAGTATTTGTTTGGTTCTTTTTCAGAATACTATCTCTTTATTGGAACACTCTTTCAAGCTTCATATCATCTTCCTTGGTTCACGCCTTAGTTCTCTTAACTTGTTGATCATTTTAACCACAACTTTAAAAAATCTTTGTTTGATATTTCCTCCACTTTGACATCTGTGCATTGGTTATTGGGAGTTACAAATTTTTGGAGGTGTTTTATTCACTTTTATTCTTATGTTTCCTGTATTTCTGTATTGAGATTTGTGCATCTGTTGGGATAGATATCTCTTCCACTGTTATGAGTCTTTTTAATGAGTTACTTTCTCTTTATGATGTTTCCCAGGTTGGGGTGTATCTCGGTGTCAAAGCACCCATTTAGGGAAAAAGGGTACCACTCATACATTGTTGGTGGGACTGCAAATTGGTACACTTCCCACTATGGAAAGCAGTATGGAGGTTTCTCAGAAAACTTGGAATAGAACCACCATTTGACCCAGATATCTTATTCCTCAGTATATACCCAAAGGACTTATAATCAGCATACTACAGTGATATAGCCACATCAGGGTTTATAGCAGCTCAATTCACAATAGCTGAACTATGGAACCAAACTAGGTTCCCTTTAACAGATGAATGGATAAAGAAAATGTAGTATGTATACACAATGGAATATTACTCAGCCATAAAGAAGAATGAAATTTATGGCATTTGCTGGTAAATGGACTATTATGCTAAATGAAATAAGCCAATCCCCCAAAGCCAAAGGCTGAAGGTTCTTTCTGATATGTGAATGCTAACACACAATAAGGTTGGGGGAGGGGGAGAATAGAAATTCCTTGGATTAGACAAAGGGAAATGAAGAGAAGGGAATGGGGTTGGGATCTGGAAAGCAGTACAATGAATCAGACATAATTTTCCTATATGTTCATGTATGAATACACAACCAGTGTAACTCCACCTTATGTGTAATTGCAAGAATGGGATCCTAGTTAGAATAAGTTATACCCCATGTATGTACCCATGTATGTATAATATGGCAAAATACACATTACTGTCATATGTACCTAAAAGAACAAAAAAATTAAAAATCTTAAAAARCAAAAAAAGCACCCACTTTTAATGTGTTCCAAGTGCTCTGTTCAAGCCTTAGCAGCTCTTTGAGAGGCTAGAATAACCTTACTTGTTGATTTAATTCAGTCTCAGAGCACCTGCAATACACTGATATCTCTGGTCCACAATTTTTCATTCCACACAGAATTCTTTGACATCTGAAGTCTTGAAGTGTAATGTAATTGTTTCTTCTAATGTGCTTTTCACTTAATAAAATTGATTTGATCTCATTGAAATTTCTAGTCCTTGACACTGCCAAGCAACAACAACAACAAAAAGGCACTCTGATTAAACTGTATTTTATAGCCTGTAGGACACCTTGCACCAGATTGGATCTCACTCTAGATTTTACCCTCCTTCCACCCAACTTCTTTCTTCACTAACATGCAAGTTCTTTTCTTTCCCTGACAATAAGACAGCCAGATGGTAGAGGCAGGCCTTCGTTGTTAGTAGTCCCTGTTTTTTTGATGTGAAAAGAGGCAGCGCAGTCATTTAAACTTGATTTATCTTCTTTGTATCTTACAAAGTTAAAGAGCTAAAATAAATACAGTAAGAAGGCAGTGCTTGTGGAATGTACACTGCATGTTGGCAGTGCATGCCTCCTTAGGATTCACCTGCTTGTTTCTTCTGTTCAGTTGTTTCTTTTGAAGGCAGAGAATTTTTCTCTTGTATTTCTGTCTTCTTCAATTTTGACTTACTGAATTATGGATCTCAGCCATAATGAGTTTGTCAGACTTGGTTGTGGAGGAAGTGGAGTCTGATGCTGGAATGAGAGAAATAACGCTGAAATAAAGCCATGCTCAGAAATTACATAAGCATATTTTTGTTTAGTTCAGTTTAATTAAACTACRGGGAAAAACACAATATGTTAAATCAATAAATTGCTGGTGGATACAAAAGGAAGGCTGAGGAAGGAGGATTACAAGTTTGAGGCCAGTCTTGGCAATTTAGTGAGATCCTGTCTCAAGAAAATAAGAGGACTGGGATATTGCTCACTGGTAGCAAGCCCTAGTAGCAAAAAAAAAAATATGTGTGTGTGTGTGTATGTGTGTATATATATGTATGTATATGTGTGTGTGTGTATATGTATGTATATATGTGTACGTATATATGTATATATATGCTTATGGTTTTTAACTGTTGTAAAATAAAGCTTTTCCAGTAATTAATACACTTTTCTCTCTTTGAAAACACAGGTTTTGAGAGTATTTTAGAAGGGCTTTATGGACCACGGCTACGAAGAGACCTCAGTTTATTTGAAGGTAATATTTTAAGTTTTATTTAAAAATTTAAGCTCCTGCCCCATGTAACAAATGAAAAATTGTTATTTAGTAACGTTTTATTAAACACAATTTTATGGTCTCTTGAAAGCATTTTTAAATAAAATAAGTAAAATTATAAAATATACTTTATTATTATCATTATTATTTTATACATGATATCTTACATTATATCCTAATGTCTTTAAAATTTTGGTACACTAAATTAAAATTGAAAATGAAGTTTGTCTTTGCCAAGTATAATATACTTTCATTTTAATGATTTTACAAATTACCTTTCTTAATTTATTCATGGATAGGATTTAAATAAATCAACTAGGCATATCAAATTCTAAAAAGCTATCTCCCCAGTTTTTATTTTTTAAAATTTGTGCTTTTAATATTTTTGTACTGAAACTTTTGTGAATATTAGAGACTCTGAAGCTAAGTTTATTGCTACATTCATTTTATCTACTTATGTCAGGACATTTCTTTTTAATATCTGAAGAGCTAGAATTGCAATAAGACATTCTTTGGAAGAATTTGTACAAAAGAATATTGAGGATAGGAAAGACGGTGCAATGAGATGGACATCATTACCCTAGGTACATGTATGATTGCACGAATGATGTGTCTCTATACAACAACCCGAGAATTGAAATGTTGCACTCCATTTGTGTATGATGAATTGAAATGCATTTTATTGTCATGTATAACTAAGTAGAATAAATAAAAAAAATTGAAAAAGACTATTTATTAGAAGTCAGGAGATTATTTTTTTTGTTGTTTTTGCTGAGTTTGGGAAAGTTAGTTAAGCCTATAAGGGCAAAGCTCTTCACTGACACAGTGTTTGAAGATATGCAGAGCCTTTATTGTTATTGATCAAGGGAGAAGTGTCCTTGGCAGTAATGTTAGTTATAATGATGCTGATAATAATTGATAACAGACAAATTTGTTTTTAAACTTAACAGGAATACATTTCTTATCAGGTATGACCTATTTTGATTTTCTTCTCAATTGTTATATCTAGAGGATAATCCTAGCATTTATTTCATCTTAATGTTACCATTTTTGTTTTCAAACTTATGTCTTTAAACCATTCTAATATTCTTTTTTTAAGTGCCAAAATTGATTGTTTACTGCTACTAYTTATATAATTTTGTAAGATTTCTATAATTTTTTTTATTCATTTTAAAATCTGAGTACAATTTATTATTTTAAACTCAAGTTACGATCCCAGATGTTTCTTTATATGATAACCATCAAATTGTATTGCAATTTATTCCATTGAAAAAGGTTTACCATCAAGTTGAGAGTAATTATTTTTAATCATAAAATCTAATAAGAGTTTTCAAGGTATGATTGGGTTTGTATGGTTTAGAGCCCCTATATAAATCTAGAATAACCTTCCTAAAGGAGACAGTATATCAGTAAGTATCAAAAGCCTAAAAGCATACATACCTGCATAGTAGTTTTACTTTTAAGAATCTCAAGAAAATAATTAGGTAAGTGTTCAGATGGCATATATCTGCATGAATTTATTTACTGTTCATTCGCGTGCTCATGAATTTATTTAGTGCTCACTCAGGTGCTCGCTCGTTCTCTATCTCTTATACATATCATAACAGTCTTGCCCATAACAGTCCTTCCAAGGTTGTTTCTACCTTTTTCTTAATATTATGTATTTAAAAGTAGGGACTGTTTAATAAATTATTTTATCTCTATAATTGGGATATCTGCATCCATTGAGAGTTATATTGTTGAATTTTGTAATGAATGATATGATATGCATGGATTGTTAGGTTGATGAAATTAAATTGCTTTGTATATATTGATTCGTTCTGTTTTTGTTAAAAAAAGGAAAAGTATATATGTTTTACTGAAARTGTTCTAGAAAAAAAGACACTGAAAGGTTTGTATGATTATATTTGAAGTATGCATTGTGGATAGTTTTTGTTTCGATATGTGTTTTTTCTTTAATATCAAACAAGTATTATATAATTTAAAAAATATGAAACTTTTGGGGGCTGGAGGCATAGCTCAGTGGTAGAGTACTTGCCTAATACTTGTGAGGCACTGGGTTTGATCCTCAGCACCACATAAAAATAAATAAATAAAAAGGTATTGTGTCCACATACAATTTAGAAAAAAAATTCTTTAAAAAAGAAACTTCTTAAAAAAAAAACACTATATTTTTCCTGTTAAAATTTATTAGAAAGAGAGGTATATAGCTCTCTTTATGTAATGTACTTTCATTTTAATGATGTTACAAATTATCTTTCCTAACTTATTCATAGATAGTAAACTAAAAGCCTTATATATTTTTTCATGGAGTATCACTTTTTACTGATATTCATCATATTGTGTATTACAGAACAGTGTTGGCTCTCAGATGAACTTTATCCAATTTTATAAAGTTATAGAAYAAAAACGATTTTTTAATTTTATTGGAGGTTTCAAATATACAATAAGTTGATTCACATATAACCCTGTTTTATTAAACTAGCCTTGGGATGGGGATGGGGTCTTATAGGTATGTAAGGACATAGTAGTTTTTCAGTCTGTCCCATCTAGTTTTTAAAGTACTTGTTAATTATCCTAGGTATATTACCCATGGCTTTAAGKACTTTCAGGTCTTTAAATCTTGAGATCAGGAACATGATATACAACTTTGTATTCCTGGCAACTAATCAGTGCCCAAAAGTGTTTGAAAGACTCACTGCAGCTCTTTGGCCCCTGGTTGCTGTACAGCAGTGGTTTGTACTGTTATCTCCTGTTCCACATAATATAAACAGCCTGGAAATCAAATTGCCACTTTGAGAAATATTGCCTGTGTGTTCAGTTTTATATTTATGTAATTCTRTTTGTTATTTGTTTTAGCTTAGTCTTCCAAAAACTCAGTAAATACTGGTGGAAATTTGTTATATAACTGTGATATAGTTGCTGTGATACGGTAGATTAGCTGTCTTATTGCTTACTTGAAAATGTGGGGCACTAGGAGAAAACATTTTTGTAGACATCTGGAATTTTATAGTACAATTCATTTACAAAATGAGTAGTATCAGTATAGGTTACCTACTTTTATTTTGATTGAATTATTTTTAGGTATTGTATCTGGTCAGTTTTATGTGTTAACTTTGTTACGTTCCGTTGTAATTGATATCTTCCATTCTACTGAGACCCAAGGTATCTTTAAGGGTCCTTTTCTCTTCTGCCAAGTGTTTTTAAGTTAAGAGAGTAATACAGTGGTGATGTGTATAAAAATTTTCTCCTCAGAGTCCCAGAGTTGAAAGTATATATATGAAAGAAGACTGTACCAACCACTAATCTTCAATCAGAAGAATTAATTATCTTTGTAGAACATGATTTTAAGGATGGAAAACTCCAAAATGTGTGTGTTCTGGTGTTTTATCATTATTATCGCTAAGGAGAGTGTAGGAATCGGGGTTCTCTAGAGGAAAATAATCAACAGGAAGTATAATTATAAAAAGGGGACTTATTAGGTTGGCTTACGTGACCAGAAACTGGATAGTCCACAGTGGCCATCTTCAGGCTGCAGAGCTGGAAAAACCAGTAGCTGCACAGTCCAAGAGGCTGAAGCTCCAGAACAAGAGGGATCAAYGGTGCTAGTTGAGACCAAAGGCTTCTGGGGAAATCACTGGCAGAGTCTGCTTTGGAAGAGTGAAGAAGCGAGAGTCCAACATCCTCAGATGATCCATCGCAGCAGCAAGAAGAATGGAAGCTTGCATCTGTGCTGTTTCCTTGGTCTTCCAACTTGTATTCCATCCAGGTCGTCATCTTACTGGATAGTGCTGCCCATGCTCAGGGAGTGTCTCCATTTCAGTTGGCTATCCCACATGCTAATCATTCCTAGACACAACATCATTGACACACCCATAAGCCTCTTAATCCTTGGCATTTCTTAAACCGGTCAAGTTGACAATTCAAATTAACCATTACAAAAAGTTTGCTTTAAAATTTTTAAATTTTAATTATTTATTATTTTAGTATAGTTTTACATTGACTTAAATATTTTTAATACAAGTACTGCTAATTAATTATAGTTGCACCAGTTTTTCCATTGAGCTTGTGAATGAACAAAGGAAAAATTTAAAGTATCAAGAACTTAACCTCTGCATGACATTTCTTCAGCTTTCCTTTCTTGCCTGGGAACCCAGATTATAACTTGTGACCCTAGCCTTTTGCTTCTCCCAGTTTGATCTCTTTGTTTATATACCTATGTATTGTGTGTGTGTGTGTGTGTGTGTGTGTGTGTGTATGCAGGTTTACACGTTATGCTCCTTAAGAAATTAGTTTATTATACAAAGGGCAAAATGTTCTAAGGAAATAAATTCCTGTATTTTATTTTTTGAAGAGGATGATAATGATGATGTTGTTGTTGATGATGATGGTGATGATTTGCACTATTGAGGATTGAACCCACAGCCTCCTGCATGATCCTGCACAGGTGCTCTACCACTTAGCTGTACTCCCAACCCTGTAGATTATTACTTCTTTGTATTATAAATAACACATATGCATTTTTAAAAATGCAGATAAGCTAGAAAGAAGTTACGCAAATCCTACTATCCAAGGAAAACCTCTGTTACAATTTTAGTATAAATATATATACACAATGTATATATTTTTGTGCCTCTTGTGTGTGTTCACTAGTATATCATTTGGATATATAAAATTCTGGATCATAATGTTTGGTGACTGAATGGGATTTCATTGTGTAAGTTTTATAATTAATTGATTTAATTAAATGTCTGTAATCTCATTTCACTTATTCTTTTAATTGAAATGTGTTTTGTACTTTACATATCTTTTTTTGTTCTTTGTTGGGGGGAGAGAGAGCTATGAATTGGTTAAACTTTGGGTTTCAGGCAGTCTTTTTCACAGGTATGCACATATTTACTTCACTGCCATTTAAAAAAAATTTTTTTAGTGTTGATGGACCTTTATTTTATTCAATTATTTAAATGTTGTGCTGAAAATTG